AAAAGCTAGCAAGCGGCCATCTAAGATGCATCAATTGGTCCCAACCACCTGGAGTAAAGGAGAATGAAGAACACCAAAGACACAAGGAAAATATTAGTCCAAGCGATAGAAAGTGTCACACAGACCAGGGACTTCGTCAGCCTGAGACAAAAAAGAACTGGATAGTGCCCAGCTACCACCAATGACCGCCCTGACAGGGAACACAACAGCGAGTCACTGATGGAGTGGGGGAAGGGTGGGATGCAGAACTCAAATTCTAGTAAAAAGACCAGACTTAATAGTCTGACTGAGACTAGAGGAACCCCAGTGAGCATGGCCTCCGGACTCTCTGTCAACCCAGAACTAAAACAATTCCCGAGGCCAACTCTTCAGACAAATATTGGATTCGACTGTTGGACATAAAATGATACCATGAAGAGTGTGCTTAATAGCTCAAGTAGATACATGACACTAAATGCGCAGCTTCTGTTCGGAGGTGAGATGAGAAAGCAGAGAGGATTAGGAGCTGGTTGAGAGGACACGGGAAATTAGGGGCGGAAAGGAGGAGTGTGCTGTCACTGTATAGGGAGAGCAATTAGGGTCATATAACAATGTATGTATAAATTTTTATATGAGAGACTGACAAGAATTGTAAACTTTCACTTCAATGCAACTAAAAAAAAACAAAGAAAACAAAAACACTCACAACTGGACCAGTAAGCAACATCATGATAAATAGAGAAAATACTGAAGTTGTCAAGGATTTCATTTTACTTGGATCCACAATCAACACCCATGGAAGTAGCAGTCAAGAAATCAAAGGATATATTGGATTGGGCAAATGTGCTGCAAAAGACCTCTCTAAAGTGTTAAAAAGCAAAGAAGTCACTTTAAAGACTAAGGTATGCCTGACCCAAGCCGTGGTGTTTTCAACTGCCTCATACGCATGCAAAACCCGTGCAATGAATAAGGAAGACCTAAGAAGAATTGATGGCTTTGAATTATGGTGTTAGCTAAGAATATTCAATATACCATGCACTGCCAAAAGAACAACCAAACCTGTCTTGGTAGAAGTACAGCCAGAATGCTCCTTAGAAGCAAGGATGGTGAGATTGAGATTTCTGACTCACATACCTTGGATGTGTTATCAGGAGGGACTAGTCCCTGGAGATGGACATCATGCTTGGTAAAATAGATGGTCAGTGAAAAAGAGTAAGACCCTCAACAAGATGGAGTGACACAGCGGCTGCAACAATGGGCTCAAGCAAAACAATGATCATGAGGACGGCGCAGGACCAGGCAGTGTTTCCTATTGTGCAAAGGGTTGTTATTAGTAGGAAGCAATTCAACAGCACCTAACAACAACAGCATGGAGCCCTAGTGGTGCAGTGGTTAAGAGCTCGCCTGCTAACCAAAAGGTTGGTAGTTTGAATCCACCAGCTGCTCCTTGGAAACCCTATGGGGCAGTTCTACTCTGTCCTATAGGGTCACTATGAGTCAGAGTTGACTCAATGGCAACAGGTAGGGATCCAACAGTTTGCTTAAGAATAACAGAATATACAAATATTAATACTTTTAATGCGCTGGACTTTTGAGACTATTTAAAGTACTGGTTACAAAGATTTTGTTATGGCATATAAAAGGCTTATGTCAAAATACTAAGTAAATAAAAAGAAGAAAAATTTATTTGACATCATCATGTATCGTATTTATAAATTTAAAATAAACTTCAAAAATGCAGTACAAGGAAAAAAGAACAGAAATGTTAAGTGTTTAGCAGTGCTGATCTTTTGATAGTTGATAATGGATAATTGATTTTTCTTTCTGTTGTCTAGTTTTAGGTATTATTTCATTTTCCAACAAGGATTCCCAAATTCTAAAACAGTACAAACTAAGTGTAAGGCACAGGTTAATCAGCTGGCTTTCTTGTTAGATAAGACACAGTATATCACATACCAGATACTCGGTGTTGATAAGGATTCTCGCCCTGTGTTGCCTCACTTGATCCTTACATTAGTCTTATGAAGCAGGTATTATCATCTGCATTAAAAAGCCTAGATGCCATAGACTTTGAAAAAGTCTATGCCCTTGAATAGCTGAAATGAAACTTGAAATCTGTGGATGTCAAGGATTTACTATAAAGGAAATCTATATAACAGGCTTGGGGGAAAAAACAATCTGGAGATTTAAGTACACATGAAGGTATGGATACTTATTGAAATTATTTGTTACGTATATTTCTTGTATTTGATGAGAATGTAATTTTCTTTAAGGACCCTGAGATCTTGGAGTTGAAGAAACGCTATTCCCTTTATGGATTACCTGTGATGGGGCAAAACCAGACATGTGGAAAGCTGAAAACACAAGTGGCACCTCAGCCTTCAGGAGCATTTCAACATAGTGAGTGCTGGAAAAATACACTGGATGGATGCCAGATTCTATAATATCAATAGGTAGATATTTCTGCACAAAAAAAGAGAAATTGAGAATTAAATAATGAATACATAACTAATTTAAAATAATCAGACACATATTTACCTAAATCTTTTTCCTTTGCTTTGAATTGCTGCTTCAAAATTAATGTGGTGGCATAACAAGTTACCGCAAATAGTATAATTATGTAAATTTAAAAGTCAGAATGTTAAACACAGTACAAAGAATAAATACTGATAACAGCCATGTTATACACCTTCTAACACAGGAATTAACACTTTGTAGTATCTTAAATCCTTTGTGGAATCATGGGGAGGGATGTTGCATGAAAGAATAAATAAATGTATGAGTAAGTAAACGAGTGATAAATGTTTTAAGTTTTAATACTAAGTGTATTTCAATATGCTTAATATTCTTGGCTTTGTCCAATGATTCCATAACGTTGAAAGGTCTCAGCTTTTCTAGGTGTTGGGGATATTTGCCTAGTCCTTTTGTCTAAGATGATGTTAAATAATCCAAATCTGAACTTTAATTAACAATAGTCCAAATCTGGAACACTATAAGGACTCACCTCAAAAGCTGGGAAAAAGTGCATAATGCATTCCCATCAAAGTTCTTAGGGCAAATATTTTATATAGACATATATATTCTGAATCAGTTACCTCATATTTACAAACTTGCATTTCTCAGCAAGTTCTTCATAAAGTTGGCTATTTCTTCAATTTAGCTCTTAGGTACAGTTTATGATCATGAATGTTCAACACTGTTTTAATGAGTGTTACTTTAAATCTAGCATCTACTCACAATAACTATTTTTGAAAAAAACAGAGAATAAACATTAAGATATAATTTTCAAATAGCAGCACAACTGGAAGAATGTAATCGATGTCACTGAATTGTACATGTAGAAACTTTTGAAATGGTGTAACTTTGGCTATGTATTATTTTCACGAAAAAAAAGGTCCTCCAAGGTCAAACAGGGAGAGTGTTGACATGTCGTGGGGTTGTTAACCAATGCCATAAAACAATATGTGTACTGACTGTTTAATGAGAAACTATTTGTTCTGTAAACCTTCATCTAAAGTACAATAAAAAAAATATATAACTGAT